ACCTCAAAATCTGTTGATTGATGACAAAGGAACAATTAAACTGGCTGACTTTGGCCTTGCTAGAGCTTTTGGGATACCTATTAGAGTATATACACATGAAGTAAGTAGAATAATGTTTTGAGTAGGATTGTTTCTTGTGTTTATATTGAGAAAAAAATACTCAATAAGGAAAGGTTTCTACTCTGACAGTATTGATTTATTGCTTCTCAGCTCCAAGTTCACCCTTTATTACATGCTACATGAAAATAGAACTAGAACTATGAAATATTTCCCCTTTGCCAACTGTTTATTAAGATTTGTCACTAGAGGGTACTGGAGAGGCATTTAGAATTGTCATTTTTTAATCTTATTTATTCAAATCCCCTATTACAGTTTAATTCTTTAAATTAAGCTTTTCCCATTCAAATCACTGAGTAGTTTCTGTCTTCTTGTTGGACCTGGCACAATCATTCTGATTACAAGATAGATTTTTTTGCTTAAGGGGTAGTATTTCTGATACATGATACATTTAGAAGTCACTACATAAGAGTTTTTTTTCTTGCGGTTCCTGGTATTGAACTAGGCCCTTGTGCACGCTGGGTAAGTATTCACCCACTGAGCTACATCTCTAGCACTGTTGTCAGGTTTTGTCAGTATTATATTGAAAGCTTGGCATTTCATCGCATTTCTGGATGGAAAGGAAATGTTGAATTGTAAAGGACTGTTAAAAATTCATGTATTCTGTAGAACTGTATACTGTTAAGCCCAAAGACTGACTACAGATCAAAACTGGTAATACTATTCACCTGGTTAGATGTTTTGGTTTCCTGTTACTCCTTTTTTGGTATCTTTACCATCTAGGTTTTTTCTTCCTCATTAGCTATGCTGTAAGTTAGAGGTGAAAGGTGGTTGATTAGGTCTAGATCACTGATAGACTTACCTGGTAAGTTGTACTTTTTGTATTAACATGGTAATCTTAACTGTCATTTTAGCATATGAGCAGTATCTGCCATTTGTACAGTATCTCCGAGCCCTAAACTCATTATTAATAGTTTTTTGTTTAGGAAAAGCTTACATTCCATAATTGTTTTGATCTTTCTGCTTTTGGTATTTGAAAAGCAGCGGTGCCTCCCCATCATGAACAGAACTCAGAAATGAAATATTTAGTACTTTATATATAGTTGATTTGCTTAAACAGTATTATTGCTGACCATTGTATAGCTTTCTAAAGGACAATCCTTATGAAATATAAATGTTTAGCTTTAGGTAATTTAATGCGTATTTACCACTGTAAAATTTGCTTTGTAATAGGTAGTAACACTCTGGTATAGATCTCCAGAGGTGTTGCTGGGGTCAGCTCGTTACTCTACTCCAGTTGACATTTGGAGTATAGGCACCATTTTTGCAGAATTGGCAACTAAGAAACCACTTTTCCATGGGGATTCAGAAATTGATCAACTCTTCAGGATTTTCAGGTACTGTTTTAAGCCTAAACTGTTAAAATCTTTTGTGTTAAGTAATAAAGTTGACATATATGTAACAAGATATTTTTGCTTTAACTAATAGTATCTGGTTCTGCTATTGTTTTTAGAGCTTTAGGCACTCCCAACAATGAAGTATGGCCAGAAGTGGAATCTTTACAGGACTATAAGAATACATTTCCCAAGTGGAAACCAGGAAGCCT